AGTGTATTCTGCAGGAGTATCTAGGAACTGCAGCTTGTGGGTTGGCTAGCAAACTTTGGAACCAACAGAACTGCTACTTGTTCTAGTGCTGCGGAGACTTGTGCATCTGGAGAATCTCTCCATCAGCTATTCGAATACTCATTTTCTTAGATCCAACTGTGTATCTCCATTATAATATTTTAGGAAAGTCAATGTGAAAGGGTAAGGATTACTTGCATGGTAGTGTGGCTTCCTTTTGGGGGTGGGGGGAGAAGGATTGTGCTTTCCTTTGCATGGAATTTTGGCAAGCAGGAGGCCATGGCCCTATGGCAGAGTTAAGCGCTCTGCATGAAAAAGCTGCCAGGTTCAATACCTAATAAAAATCTCAATTACTCAATGTTTGGAAAGACACCTCTCCTGTTGAGTTATGGGCCATCAGCAATGCTCCCTCTAAGCTGAGTTAGTGTGAGCTAGCTCACAGTTTTTTAGCCTCTGGCTCACACATTTTTGTCTTAGCTCAGGAAGGATGGCTCCAGAGCAGACTAATCTATGCAGTAGTCAAATTGCTCGCTCACAACTTTAATGCCAGTAGCTCACAAAGTAGAATTTTTGCTCACAAGACCCCACAGCTTAGAGGGAACATTTGCCATTGGTCTGGCTTACTATAAGACGGCATCATATATTCATGATGAAATTCATATACAGACCCACCACCCAGACTTGATCTCAATAGGACTGGGGTGAATATCCCTTGTCTATAAGGAAATGTTGCTAGGGAAGTATCCCTGATGTCTCACTTTGGTTAAGGGAAAAGGAACATTTGAAATCCTCACATTTTAATCTCCAATCACGGAACAGCATGCTCATGTTATATTGAACAAAGCAGAAAATCAAACTGCCTACTGCCTGCGTAACACTGCATCAACAGCTGGAAAATGCAACCTGCATGATGGTGGGAAGTGCCACCAAGTGGCAACCTCATAGGGTTTTCAAGGCAAGACACGTTCAGAGGGAGTTTTGCCATTGTCTGCTTCCACATCACGACCGTGGTATTTCTTGGCAGTCTCCCATCCAAATACTAGCTAGGGCCAACCCTGCTTAGTTTCCAAGACCCAATGAGATTGGTTGGAACCAGAGGTCATTTCGGGGGGGATCGCAGTTCCCCCGGGTGAGGTATGGGGGGCGGGGCACATGACGAAGCCCCGCCCCCTGCTTCCGGCCGCCCCGCTTCCGGCCCTCATTCAGCCAGGAGGAGGCAGGAGAAGAGGGAGGGTAAGTTGCTTCCCCCCTGCCTCTCCCCACCCCTGCCTGGGGCCAGGGAGGGCTTCCTTGCACTCCCGCCGGCCTTGCAGGTCCACCGCCGGGCCCCTCATAGGGCTCGGCAGTGGAGCTGCAAGGCCGCTGGCGGCGCTCGGGACCATTGGGGGTGGGGTGTGTGGCCTTATGACACACTTCCGGTGATGTCAGGGGGTGTGGCATATGCTAATGAGTTATGCTAATGAGTCCCCCTAGCTCTTTTTCTACGACACGACCCCTGGTTGGAACACTTTCCCTATGAAGAAAGGTTAATGTGCTTGGGGCTCTTTAGCCTGGAGAAATGACAACTGAGGGGTGACATGATAAGAGGTTTACAAGATTATGCGTGGGATAGAGCAGGAAGAGAAAGAAGTACTTTTCTCCCTTTCTCACAAGACAAGAACTCATGGGCACTCAATGAAATTGCTGAGCAGTCGGGTTAGAACGGATAAAAGGAAGTACTTCTTCACCCAAATAGTGATTAACACATGGAATTCACTGCCACAGGAGGTAGTGGTGGTGGCTACAAGCATGGACGGCTTCAAAAGGGAATTGGATAAACATATGGAGCAGAGGTCCATTAGTGGCTATTAGCCACAAGGTATAGATAGAGACTCTTGGTCTGGGGCAAATGGTGCTCTGTATTCCTGGTGCTGGGGGGGGGGCAACAGTGGGAGGGCTTATAGTGTCCTGGCCCCACTGGTGGACCCCCTGGTGTGACCGTGTTGGACTGGATCGGCCTGATCCAACATTGGCTTCTCTTATGTTCTTATGAGATTGGGCTAGCCTGGGTTACCCAGGTCAAGGTGGTGCAATCTGCATAAATTATGCAAATTCCTCCTATTTTGCATACATTTGTTTCTTAGATGGGAGGGGGGAAACATTTAAGCAAGTCACTGAAGCCCCACATGTACTGTATTACAAACATAAGGGTGAGAAATTTGCTTTCTAATACACATACACAGGGACAACTGATGATCACTGATGACTCAGGAAGCTCAGTTCTATAGCCAGTACCTCACTCTCTGCACATTGTCTTAAGGACAAGAAACATAAAACAAATCACAGAAGCCTTAGTGTTCCAAGATGTTGAATTTGGTAGAAGCTAGACCCTTCAGTGCTTGAGCACGCGAAGCACCTTATTCTGAATCAGACCTATGGTCCATCAAACTAGGTAGATAACATAAGAAAAGCCTTGTTGGATCAGACCAGTGGTTCATCTAGTCCAGCATCTGTCTGACACAGCGGTCAACCAGTTCCTCTGGCACAGAGGCCAAGACTTTTCCCTGATGTTGCCTCCTGGCTTTGGGATTCAGAGGATTAGTGCCTCTGAATATGGAGGTTCCCCTCAGTCACCATGGGTAGTAGCCATTGATAGACTTATCCTCAGGGGTCATTTCGTAGAAAAAGAGCTAGGGGAACTCATTAGCATAACTCATTCGCATATGCCACACTCCCTGACATCAGGGGCCCGGCGGTGGACCTGCAAGGCCAGTGGGAGTGCGAGGAAGCCCCGCCAAGGCCCTCCCTGGCCCCAGGCAGGCAGGGGTGGGGAGAGGCGGGGAGGAAGCAACTTACCCTCCCTCTTCTCCTGCCTCCTCCTGGCTGAATGAGGGCTGGAAGCGGGGCAGCCGGAAGCAGGGGGCGGGGCTTCGTCATGTGCCCCGCCCCCTGCACCTCACCGGGGGGGAACTGCGTTCCCCCCCCGAAATGACCTCTGCTTATCCTCCATGAATCTATCCAATCCCCTTTAAAGCTGTTTATTCCTGTGGCCATCACTACATCCTCTGGAAGTGATCACTTTGACTAGAAGTGATTCTTCATGCAAAATATGTATTCCACAGTTAAGCCACAGGCTCCCTGCCCCAGGCCATTTATACAACATCATCATGGATATGCTGAACATACAAGGAAGGAGGCTGATCGACTCTCTGCTCCTCACATCAGTGCTCAAAATATTGCAAATGCTGCAACAATTCCCAGATCAAAATCAGAGTAAAGCAAGGAATGTGAAGCTGTTGCTTCTGCAGATCTCTAAACTTCATTGATTTGCATCGTCTCTGCATACAGAATTTGACACATCTGGGTTCAAAACATGAGACTTTCATTGGCACCAATTATGCCTTAGAGTTGGTGGCAGCAAACGCTCTTGAGGTTGAATTCTGTTCCTTTCACGCCCCAGGTTTATGGAAGCTGAGGCCAGGTTTCCTGTGCTCAACTAGTACTGGCCTTCCAAGGCATTATAAAGAAGTATTTCACTGCAAAAACCTGTTCTTTTCCCAGGAGGACAGGACAAATGCCAGCCCTTCACAGACTATGCAGCCACTTTATGAAATGCTTGCCCACGAAGGCAGCTCCTTTTCTTACCTTTCTGTTTTTTCAAAGGTCAAGTTAAGAAATCATTAAAAAACACGCACACACCACTTTCAGATCTGCAGCAGATGGTTGGCTGGGTTTCAATCCCAACTGCACTTTTAGTTCTTTGGAGACAGACAGGGATGATTATTCAGGGCTAGTTCCCATGCAAGCAAGGGCTCCTGCATCTCAAAGAACCAGTTCAGACAGCAGTCTGTGAACCAGCAACCATGGGATTAGAGGAATCCAGGTGAGTGTAGCAGTACCTGTCAGAAGAGATCACTATAGGCAGCTGTGGAGAACACCCCTTCCAGCTCTCTCCGTGATACCACTCACTCACCCTCCAGCAGAGTGTGGCTTCTTCAGACAGTGACTTTTTCATCCCCTCTGCTATCAGAAGTCAGACATCATGCAGCAGAGGTGCATAAAAAGTGTACTATCAAACAGATTGCCCAAAAGGCAGCAAATGTTTTGTTTTTATGATTCTGGGCTGCCTTCCACACAATCATTTAGCACACCCCATGGTTCAGCTGTGGCCAAGGAACACCAGATTTTGCTTTGCATACAGCTCCGGAGCAGGCAACAGTATAAGCCTCCCGTATCAAGGGTGTGTCAAGGCAGTAAAACCACCTCCGATCAGCAACTTGCTGGACAAGGGACCTAAAGTGAATGCTAAAAAGATAAGAGTAGTTTGTGTAAGACACCTTGGACTTCCTTGGTGGTTTCCCATCTGAGGGACTCAGAGAGACTGCTGTACAGTTTTCATGTCTGACACACACCAATTTGGTGGGAAAGACCTAATGGGAAGGTGGTAGCAGAATCGCCAAATAAGCTACTGGCAGCTGCTTGTGCAACCACTGCCCTTGAGGAGGAGCAGGAGGAGGAAGAGGAGGAGGAGGAGGAGAGAAGATTGGATTTATACCTCGCCCTTCACTACCCGAAGGAGTCTCAGAGCGGTTTACAATCCCTTTCCCTTCCCCACAACAGACACCCTGTGAGGTAGGTGGGGCTGAGAGAGCTCTCCTGAGAACTGCCCTTGAGAGAACAGCTCTGAGCAACCAACATCCTAGAGGTCCACTCCAAGATCCTAATGTAGCTTTGACTGCTGCCTGACTGCAAACACAAAACTGCCAGGAAACAGAGAAGAAAATGGGACACCTTGCATACTCCACTTAATAAGAGGAAGCCAGAATGCTTCAAAAGCAGGAAGTCTGGGTTCCATGTGATAACCGATTCTGTTGAAAGGGCATACTTGAAAAAGATGCAACAGGCCCCATTCTATTGCGGTCTGTGCTGGCCAGATTGGCAATAGGAGACTGCCAGCCAACAGGGAAGATTGGGAATAAAACACCACACAGCAGATTCCAGAGATAAAAAGTGTCTTGGAAGCAACTTCACTGCCACCATCAGGTCATAAGAAAGTACAGCACTTTTGGAAGAGAAGCACTGTGCACCCCCAGCTAACTCCATCATACCATTTGATACGTTCACACATCAAGACCTGGCAATGGCACATGAAATTTTGTAGCCAGTCCTTACTCCAACAAGACCACCCCACTGGTCAAGGAAGGTGAGCTGTTGTGACCACAGTGTGGTGTTGTGAAACAGGCACCGCCACTTGTGAAGCCTTGCTTACACAGGCCCCCTCCCTCACCCATACAGTCCAGTTCTTACTTGGGTTCACCCCCCCCCCCCAAAAAAAATCAAAACACCCCTGCTTTGGGGCTACAAAAACCAAGTTCTTCAAGTAGTTTTGGAGTAACCAAGTGTGACTCCTTTAACTACACTTAAAAAAAATCAACTGTACTTTCAGGATCTTCGAAAACTAACACCTTTCCCCTGTAACCCTACTGGGGTGACGTTCCACATGCTGGATAGCAACGGGCACTGTGGGAGGGTCCGTTTCCTCTTCTTTCAATGCCTTGCAGCTTTGCAGACTGCAGCTATGTCTCCTCAAGGCCTTTTCTCCACTGAGCTGGTATTGCTCAATTTAGAAGATACCATGCATACTCTTTACAGGATGTCAAATGCAAAGATTAAAAATGTTGGCACGCATTCTCCTTAAATAGTCTTTGGGAAAAAACCTAAACTGAAGCTTCAGGCCAAACTCCAGGATGCAGCTTGGGCTCACGAGAGACAAGGACATCTGGAATAACGTGGGCAGCAAACAGCCTGCTTGTGAGGGGGTGGGGGTGGGGAGAATGAACATCTTCTGACACAATCCAGGAAGAGCAACTGCAAGTCTCTATAAGAGCTGATTGTCTTTAACACGTCACAGAACCATCAGTGCAGAGTGTCATGCAGCTGACCGCCGGCGGATCACAAACGCCCCTCGCTGTAGCTGCCCAAGATAGATCCTCATTTTTGTGCTGTCGCTGGTTTTCCTCACCCAGATCTGCAGATTAAATAAATAAAAATAAAGCTCCTTACCCTTTCAGTTCCCACCAAAAGCAGCGCTATTGTACGTTTCATTACAAACAATGGGTTATATTAATGGAAGTGATTGAATACAACCCACAGAGAACATGAAAACGTGCATGAGAATGGCTCCGAGTTATACAGTGTGGGGTAAAGTACCATCAAGTTGCAGCCGACCTATGGCAATGCTGTAGGGAAGAGACAAACAGAGGTGGTTCGCCATTACCTGCCTCTGCCTAGGGACTCTGGACTTCCTTGGTGATTTCCCATCTGAGTACTAACCAAGGCCGACCCTGCTTATCTTCCTAGATCTGATGAGATCAGGGTTGCCCGATATACAACACACCTCAGATAATTCAGTTGGTAAACATATACTATTGAGTTTTCCCATCTGAACCAGAAAGAAACACTTCACTAACACTCTAATTTTCCAGTGGCCAGTTCCTGACTTTAAAGAGGCAGATGTACTTAAGCAGTAACATGGACTCTTCCAAAGTAATTTCTCTTTGTTGCCAGCTGAAATAAAAAACAGACCCTTCCTCACTTAACCTGACTTCGGAAATGTTGTTTCAACCAGCAGACTCTGGAAGAGTCTTGCGTTAAAGCGCACTGGGATGAAATGGGACTTAATTTCAATTCTGCTGTCACCTAACCACATTAAGATTCTTAGTGTTAATAATTTTAATCAAATTAGCAATTTCATTGTTATGTTATATAATGTATCTCTTGGTACAATATAACATGCTTGTTTAAATAATCACCCATTGAATGTAATATCTCTGTGACTAGTCTCATTAACAGAAAAGAGACACTTGGAACAAAAGCCAATTCAGCATATGACATAGTAATTCTTTTATTCTTACTCGTTTGAATATTTTTAAGCAACTTGTCCTTTTCTTGTTATTTCTGGTTAGGTTTTCTATCTGCTCTTTTAATTAATCTTTAATTAATTAATCTTTGCTGATTTTCTCCCCAAACCATCTCAGCCTCTAACACGTTAGGATACATTTTAAAAAAATCTTTAGAGATATGATGGACTGTACCACTTCAGACTGCAGCCATATGATCATAATCTGGAATATTCAATGTGAAATGCTCCTTACAAATAGAAAACCAACACAGAAAACAAGGAACGGGAGTGGAACCTTTCTGCCCTTTAAAGCTAGTCTGCATGGATTTTTTTTCAATGAAAAGGAGCATTCAAAGTTGGAATCCAACATTGGCAGTCTGTAGTGGTGAAGCCCATTCTGCTCCCCCCCACCCCAGGTCTTTGCTCTCTGGCTCTAACTTTATTCTCCTTCACATGTGAACCAGGCCAAATACACGTGTGCCATCACTTGAAATGGCCTGGTTCACATATGAATGAGAATAAAGTGGCAGCCAGAGGGCAAAGACCCAGGGAGTGAGGGAGGGCAGATGTAAAGGCCTGGAAGGGCTGGGATAAGGGACAGCACAGGCTCCTCATGCCTACGTAAGGCCTGGTTTAGTCATACAAGAATAACTATATATTGGAGCAGGGTAGATTCTGAGTTTCTCTCGCAACACAAACAGCAAATGGAGCCCACACAGTGGAACATTTTCTAACCGAAATAACAAAGGAAGAACAGGTTGGAATTAAAAATGCCACAAAGATACAAAACTTTAATCTTCTATTTCTTTTACTATCTTTCTCTTGGTTTCTTCTTAAAAGAACTGTCTGCTCCTTATTCAATCCAACATGCCCACCCAACAGCACAATAATTTTCCACCTAGAGTACAAGGTGTGTAGAGCTACATGATATTTATTCATTTAACTCAATGTTGAAATCTCATGTGCTGATGAGCAGACCTGTCTGGTAAAAACCTCAGCTCTGGATCTAGAGTATGACTCTTGTCACTCTTTGAAGCTCTGCCCCATCAGCCCCCTGCTGATTGTTGCCATGCAACTGGCTAGACAGAAGCCCACCAAGGACCCCACGTCTGGCTCAGAACCTGCATCGATCCCCAAAACCGAAAGGACAAAAACTTGGCTATAAATAACAGGCAGTTGTTTTCAGGAAAACTGTTACCCGGCTACAGGCAGCCCCAAAACCTGACAACTGCTTGCAGGGCCATTACTAAACCGAAAATCGTCACGTACTTCATTGGCTCCCACAGAACTGATCACACAGCTGATTTTGGTGTTCTCTTTTGATTCCAGATAAATAGCCTGGCTCTTGTGATACCTGCAAAGAAAAGGTTCTTTAAAAACGCATAAGGACTCAGCACACCACATGCAAAAATCAGCTATTTTTTCAGGAATAGCTTTTCTCTCTCCTCCCCCTGCCCCATGATGGATGAATTTGTTCAATATACTGCACCTATACCATTTCTCTGTGACCTTGACATCCTTGCCTACAACAGCTTGTTTGCAGGCTGCAGCTTGTACATAACAAGGGAGCCTTTGCCCTGCCATACAATCTTGTGTTAATGTTCTAGATTCTGTGGTGGCTTTTTACTGCCCTCAAGGCACAACACAAAATATAACAGCTCATGTCCTGCACTGAATGACCCTGTGTGGATGCAACAGTGGCTCCTTGCCAACCAGGGCTTAACAAAAGCCAGCCTGGGAGTGTGGCTCTTTCACCTTCCCTTAGCAATTTGTGGGAGGAGTTTTGGGGGCAGTCTTCATTTTTCTTTAACAAGTAAGGGGAGAGAGAAATGGACTCCTCTTGTTTTAATAGGGACCAGAAGTTATAGTTATTATATTATTATAGTTATTAAAGTATCTGTACTCTCAAGTGGTTAAGACGCTGAACTGCAGGCTGTGGAAGGTAGGTAGTTCAGCAGTTCAAGACCCGAGTGTGCCACATGACGGAGTGAGCTCCCGTCTCTAGTTCCAGCTCCTGCCAACCTAGCAGTTCGAAAGGAAGAAATTGCAAGAAGATAAATAGGTACCACGACAGTGGGAAGGTAACAGCGTTCTGTGCGCCTTGGTGTTTAGTCATGCCGGCCACATGACCACGGAAATGTCTTCGGACAGCGCTGGCTCTTCGGCTTGGAAACGGAGATGAGCACCGCAACCCTAGAGTCAGATTCGACTGGCTTTCGAGCAAGGGTACCTTTACCCCCCCCCCCCTTTCCTTTTTGGCCCAAGGTGGCTCACAGGCAGTGTTCCCTCTAAGCTGAATTAGTGTGAGAAGACTGGATCCTTGACAACAACATTATTCATCCCCATCAAGCAGAATTTAGAAAAGGCCTAGGCACAATAAACCATTGTTACACTCTTTATCAATTGGCTAAATCAACAATTTATTTATTTATTTATTTATTTGATTTATACCCCGCCCTCCCCCGTAAGGCCCTACCAAAGCCTTATATGCAGTGCTAGTTGATTTGGCATCAGCCTTTGATTCAATCGATAGGGAGACTTTGGGCTAAATTGCTGAAGACAAACATAGACAAGAGATTGCTGTACTTATTGCAAGAGCTTCATCAAGATACATATATAAGGATAAGAGTAGGCACTTCAGGCTCTCTAACCAGAGAAATTCCAACAGGGAAGGGAGTAAAGCAGGGCTACGTGCTAGCTCCTACACTCTTCAATTTGTATATAAATGATATTGTTGTTAAGCTAAGTAGTCCTGATTTTGTTCCACCTACATTGGGTCAACAGAAAATATCAGTACTGCTTTACGTGGATGACATGGTCTTATTTTCCTTAACGAGAATTGGTCTAAAGAGACTTTTAGGTAAGTTAGGAGAATATTGCAAAGAAGAGAAACTTACTATCAATTATTCCAAAACTTAACGAGTGGTTTTTTGAGAAAGGCCCAAAAACATGTCTGGATATTCAAGGTGTCCCAACAGAACAGTGTAAGATCTACAAATACTTGGGTTTAATTTTCAGTGAAACATTGAACTGGAATGCCCATGTAGCTTCTATTAAATCACCAACATTTAAGACACTGGGAGTAATTCTGAGATTCTATCGAACTAAAGGGGGTTTCCTAAAAGATCCAGCTGTTAAGCTTTTAATTACCAAAGGTGCACCTCACTTTATGGGATAGTATGGGATAGAACTTTGGGGTTGGAAGGAACAAACATTGTCCAGCTTGGAGACATTGCAAAATCTTTTCCTGAGGTGGCTATTGGTACTGCCTATCTAAGGGTTTGCCTGCGGCTCTAATGAGAACAGAAACAGGCATCCCTTCACTCAGGGCTTGAGCTCACATAGCGATCCAGAAAGCGAAGATGAAATATCAACAGCTGCCAAACGAAACACTTAGCAAAATCAGTTATTGTGATTTACTAAGCAAAGATAAAACTAGTGTTGAATTTTACAATAACATTATTTCCTGATAACACTGTGCCAGATGACTTACTTAGATCCCTCTCGAATACTCGGGATCTGTGTCAATGGGTATACAATGAGGAAGCTCTACTAGATAACATGCTGATAACTCAGTTAAAATCAGCACCATGGTACCAAAGGATAAAGAAAGATAATTTAAGAGCATCATATTTGACAGATACTGCAATACACAGTTTAAGAGCGGCATTTACCGCACTTTTTCAGTCTATGCCCACTGAATTTGTTGTCTGGAAGATATTCTAATACACCACAGGAACAACACATTTGTGTATGCAGAACCTCTGTGGAAGATCTATTTCACTACATAATGATTTGTCCTTTATATTCAGACCTTAGAAGCAGATTCCTATCCGGAATTTTAAGCCAAGTGCACAATTTATCAGATAGCAAAAAGCTGATCTTTCTCTTGTCGGATACGAACCCCTTGGTCTCACACAAGGTAGCACTTTTTGCACTTGCAGCTAGGAAAGCCAGATCCAAGGCGGCTCTTAGAAATGTCTCACAATGAGTTATAAAGGTCCCGGTCAGACGTGCTGGAA